GACAGATATGTATACGAAAACTCTAATAAGATCAAATGTGTCAAATATTGTGATGATGTAGTAAGTCAAATTTTAAGATTATATATTCACCCCTTATCTGTCATTAGCAGTATTGAAGTTGCATTCCACAAAGCAAGCGATCTTGGAAAATCCTTTCAACAATTCTTTGATAAGCTGTCAATGTATACCGTACTATATGATTAAATAACTACACTTACATACGATTAGTTTTACCTTAGATTCAGTTTTAACACTTTCGTCGAGATTAACGGGCAAAGTAATTGTTTGATTGACAACTTTGAAAAGAGAATTGGAACACTAGTGTAAATTTGTTGACAAGTAAAGCTTGTGGCTTAAAATTTTTGATTACGAAACCAAAATGAAGATTTACCAAGCGGATGAAAATTAAGAATAGGCCAGAGACGTATTGATGCATCTCCACCACCAGTAGCCTGTCATGCCATTAGATAAAAAATAAGAGCATCAGAAATCTCATCGATTCTTAAAAGATCAATTGTATCTACCGCAAGAGATCCATCAGGAGAAATTGCCATACTCCAAATATTTTTTCCCTGAATTGATAAGGACGTAAATAATATTTTGTAAGACTCTACGTTTATATATCTAAATCAAAGATTGTAATACTCAAATAAACGTACTATATGTCCATTAAACGAATAGATCATGTTGCCTTCCAGGTCCCAAAGTATACAAGAGGCATCCTGACATGAAGATTCAAATTGTATGAAAACAAGAGGAGACAAATTTAAAATTCGTCGTGATCTATACGGATCAGAAATTTCTGAATACCTCTCCAATACTTATGACATAATCAGACAGTAGGTACGCATCCCAAACTCGTGCCTTATGACCATAGAAGGTCTTTAACGGAGATAATATTACTGGCTTTCTTTCTTTTCTGGGATCTGAAATCCAATCTTCATTTACTTGCCACAATCGTATACTTCGATCATCGGACGCAGAGCAGAGATAATTTTCATTAGCGAAAGTAATTGAGAAAATAGCACCCTACAAGTGAATTAATTTGGAAATTACACTGCTCATATAGTGTGCTTAAAATGGTGACATAATTCATACTCTTATATGGATATATTAAGTAATTGATTAAAGGTTTATTACAGCTGCAGTAGAATATTACCTCATGTCCTATCAGCTTTATGGAAACTTCTGCTACTTGTTTCTTTTCTTGTAATGATTCCTTGGAAGAAAAGGCTCGCCATAATAAAATCTGATTATAAACTGTACCACTTCCCAGCGCTAGCTCGAGCAAAGTACAGTTATGTTTGACGAAGCTGGCAGAATATCTTTATTTACATGATCGATTAAGGAAGATAATTTAGTAATAACTGTGGTGGAAACTTTGTACTATTTCATAAAGTAATAAATCACCAAAGTCTGATACAACATACACTGCTGGTTGCATTGCACGATGTAACGTACATTTAGGGTTTTCCATTCTAGTATAACAACGGCATTTAACCCAGTCACAAGAGCTAGGAGGATAGGCTCCTGAAAGTAGCGTATAAGGTAGCACATGAAGTTATCTCAAATTTAATTCAGCGATAATTTTCAATCACGATTTACAATTTGGAATTATGATTACTAGCAAAATTGCATTGCATAGGAGCAGATAATTATTATTCTTGTTGTCATACCTTCGTTCTGATGTCTTTATTGTTATCATAAATCCATGCAGCATCCCATATCCAAGATTTCACATTGAATACCGAGGTCAAAGTGTCCATTCTGNGTCATACAAATAAGTTACAGTCATGATCGTTTCTAACTACGGAATTA